TGGTGCTGGCCGCGGCGGCGGCGGGCGCGGCCGTGGGCAAACCCTTTGCCTGCAGGTTCTGCGCCAAGCCGTTCCGCCGCTCCTCCGACATGCGGGACCACGAGCGGGTGCACACGGGCGAGCGGCCCTATCACTGCGGCGTGTGCGGCAAGGGCTTCACACAGTCCTCGGTGCTCAGCGGCCACGCGCGGATCCACACGGGCGAGCGCCCCTTCCGCTGCGCGCTCTGCGACCGCACCTTCAACAACTCCTCCAACTTCCGCAAGCACCAGCGCACGCACTTCCACGGGCCGGGGCCGGGGCTGGGGTCCCCGGCCTTGGCGGCCGAGGGGGCAGGGGGCGTGTGCGGGGCGAGCCACCCGCGGGAGGAGGGGTACCGGGACGAGGCGAAGGCCGAGGTTGACCAGTAGGCCGGGACAGCGGGTCAAGGGCATTAACTTGATGTTGCGGGGCAGGGGTGTGGGGAAACGGAGGCAATGACGAAGAGGAGAGCAGGAGCAGCGTCTCTGCGCAGCAGCACGCAAGGGCCAGGCTCTGGACGTCCAGAAGCCCACACTACGCCTATGCGAGGCCCAGATAAAGAGCAGCAGCCCTGTGGTGCACGGCTGCATGCGAGGAGCACGGGGAATTTCCTGCCTCTTTTGCATCCCTGTTTGGTTGTCTGTGTGCGGGACACAGCGTGTCACAGCAGAGTAGGCACGACAGAGGGAGGGGACTGGGGCCACACTCCTGGCCCCGTCCTTCATCTGCAGAGCCCTAGACTGTCTTGGGGGTCCCCGGTGGACCAGGATGGAATCTTTTGCCTACCTCACCGGATTGCACTGGACCTGGGAAGACGACCCACCCCCAGGCAGAACATGCCCAGCGGGTGATGTGTAAAGACTCTAGGATCCCGTCACTCAGAGCCATGGGTCCCTAAGTCACAGCTGGAAGCCCTGGAGGATGTAAGCCTGACCTTAGGATCCCTGCTTCCCCAGCCCCCAGGGTGGTCCCTCTTTAACCCATCCGGAACCCTGGTCAGATACAACTAAGAGCACGCCCAGCAAGCAACCACCTACCACCCTTCCCTAAGCTGTGGCGCAGCCAGTGCTCCCCACAGCTACAAAGTAGCCTCAGGTTTCTCTAATTTCCTCCACTTGGAATTGGACAGCTACTGCCCGATCCCAGGCAATCCGGAAGAAGGGCGGGTCAGTGCAGGGGCGGGGACAGGCGCAGGCCTGGGGAGCTGTAGACGCGGAAGCTGCAGTCTTCTGTTCCTATTAAAGGACTGTGTGAAGGGCTGCTCTCTGTCACTCTTGCGTTGGGGTGGTCTCCTCTAGGGTCGGCGAACAGCCACTATGCTGCCAGCAGCAGCAACTTGCTCTGGGCTCTGCCCAAACCCCTAAGACTGGTAGTTAGCTGATGCACACCGGCATCCCCAGCTACTCAGGGATGTCTCGGAACCCAGCCAGCCTTAGACCCTGTCTCAAAAAGAAAAGAGGGAAAAAAAAAAGGCTGTTCAGAGACGTTGTGTTTCCAGCCCGGGAGAGGAACGGGGGCAGGGAGGTTTGGCACGTGAAGGGACACCTGTGACGGCCAGGCTTCTGGAGGAGGAAGAGTCCCGGGCCTGCCCCTGAGGAGACTGGGCCGCTGGTGTTATCCTGTTCTCTCCACATCCATGAGAGATCTCCCAGAGGGCTCGGGATGGGACAAAAGCCGTTCCCATTTCCCCAACGAAACGTCTGTGCTCCTGTCTCACTGGCGAGGCCACGGGGCTCCCTTGGCCTCTTCCTCATCTGCTCCATTTCCCAGCGTTTAGATTCTTCCCCATTACTACCCCGTGTTCGCCACGAGTAACCGCGGCAGCCCAGTTCTGGGGCGCACCTTCCTCCTCCTGCACTGCAGCCACGGGGGCCTCTCACCAACCCACAGCTCCCCGTGGCTTGGAGAAGGGGTCCAAAACGTGTCTACAAGAGCGGGCGGCGATGGAAATAAGGTGTCCAGGGCGAGGGGAAACAGGGCAAAGGCTGCTTGGTCTCACTGTTGGGGCTCAGCAAGCAGCGGTGTGCCATGGCGGCAGCTTGGAGAGTACTCCATCAGGAGAGGACAGTGGCTACCCAGCTTGCCGGGGATGCAGATCGGATCTCTAGGTTTTCCGGAGTTCTCACTTAGCTCCCATGAGAAATCTTCGTGGCCCAGAGCATGCTGTGCGTGTGTCCCGCCTCCGAGCTCCATCCCCAGCCCTCTGCGTCCTTGCCTAATGCAGACAGGAAAAGTGTTTCACTCCCATCCAAACTGGCAGATGCTGGTTTCCAGCCTCCAGTCTAGTCTCCCAAGCCCTACAGCCTGGAACTCAAGAGCTTGCAGGGTCCAGCCATACTCATCTACTAAAAGTTCTCCACAATAGCTGGTTTGGGGTGGGCACACCAAGCCCTCTAATTAGCACCGTGTGCCCACTCTACCTGGCAAGCTCCTGTTGCTGTAAATGTCATTGTCCACACCAGGCTCCCTAGCCGTCACCCATCTGATAAGGTGACTGCCCCACATTCCCTCAGCCTCAGGGACGCTTCCGTGTCTCTGGGGTTGGCCAGGCTTCACTGCTGTGTGACTTTGGAGTGTGGACACGGTGGGTCCGCAGAGTGAGAACAGTGAGTGTGATGGGTTGCGGCCCTCGCACGTCACACAACTCCCGCCCAAGGAGGGCTATGAGGGGCATTTACACTGCAAACCATGGGCCTGGTGGGGGGTGTGCTGTGAACACGCTGTGTAGGAGATGAGAGCCCAGGCCTGCGATAGATGCCTGCTCCTCTGGTTCCTCAGGATGAGAGCTGTGACTAGCCTGCTTCCCCAGTGCCAGCCTACGGCCCCGCTGATACCTCTGGGAAAGGCCAATGAATGAGCAGAGGTTGGCAGCCTGGCAAAGGGGAGGGACTCACCTGCTGCATCCATCTGCCTTTGCCCAGCTCAGGGACCCACGTGTGGAATCGGGTAATTCCTCAGCAAACAGCAGCTGAAGGGCAGGAGGCAGAGGGTGGGCATCAGATGCTGTGTTTTGCCAACATGTAAGCCCCACTCTCCGTAGGATGCAAGGACAGACATCAGGGCCCTGTTGTGAAGATTTATTGTTCTCTGCTCTGTACAAGCGGCGTCTGCCACCCCAACCCCCCACCCCACAATCCAAAAGCACCCCCTTCCATGATCCCAGCTCTGCACATCCCACTGCCCAGCCAGACTCCAAAGAAAAGGGGTGTGCAATTCAGCTGCATCTCCATCGAAGAGCTTGCTGCCCAGGGCGGACGGCCACTCGGAGTGGCTACAGACGGTCACAGGAGGGTTGGACAGAGAGCCAAGTTCAGTGTGTGGCGGAACAGGCGAGGGCCGCGAGGTCCAGGAGGGGTGATTCAGTCTGGAGTGTGTAGGGCCTAGGCCCTAAGGGAGACCAGGCAGTCTGAACTTCTGAAGGATGGGAGAGACAGGACAGTCTGACCAGCAGCCCCGGGGAGGGGAGTCCAGAGAGGACACGAGATCGGCAGCCTCAGGAGGCATCCTTCCCCGTCAGGGCCCCAGCCGCAGCCCCCGCCCCTGCCGCTCCGAGGCCCTCGGCCTTGTGCACCAGGCGGTGCTTCTTCAGGCCGTAGGTGTTGGCGAAGCCCTCTCCGCAGGAGGAGCAGCGGAAGGGCCGGCCGCCCTGGTGGGCTGCCAGGTGCTTGCGGAAGTAGCCGGGGTCTTTGAAGGCCTTGAGGCAGGCGGGGCAGCGCAGCTCTGGCCGCGGCGGCTCGTGCGCACGCTGGTGGCGCAGCACGGAGCTCAGGTAGAAGAAGCCCTTCCCGCAGTGCTCGCAGCGGTAGGCGCGCTCTCCCAGGTGCAGCCGCTGGTGCTCCAGCAGGTTGGAGCGGTAGCGGAAGGTCTTGCCACACGCACCACAGCGCTGGGGCCGCGCCACCGCGTGCAGCCGCCGGTGCTCGGCCAGGCTGGACGACTGCGCAAAGCGCTTCGCGCACACACCGCACTTGAAGGCGCGCTCGCCGGTGTGCACCACGCGGTGCTGCCGCAGGTACCAGGAGCGCAGGAAGCCCCGGCCGCACACGCCGCACCGGTAGGGCCGCTGTTCCGTGTGGCAGCGCTGGTGGCGCATGAGCAAGGCCGCCTCCCAGAAGCGCTTCCCGCACACCGGGCAGCGAAAGCCGCGCTTCTGCCGGTGGCTGCGGCGATGCAGGAGCAGGTCATAGGCGCCCGCAAAGCTCTGGCCGCACAGCCCACAGCCCAGGGTCCGCCGCACCAGGTGCACGTACTTGTGCGTCACCAGCCCCAGGAAGTGCTTGAAGCTCTGGCCACAGGTGGCGCAGCTGAAGCGTTCTGGGCCCGCACCCGTGCCCGCGCCGGCCCCCGCAGACGCGCCGCCCGCGTCCTCTCCCCCCGACACGCCCGC